GTGTTTCAAAAAAAGCAGACTACTTTAATGGTGGAAGCGTTGAGATCCTTGACATGGAATAATAGGTATAACTACAATCATCATAATTACTGGTTACAATAGGTTGTGGTTCATACCTATCAAATTAAACATTGGCGTCAATTTGAGAGATATTTACATCAGGTTGATTATTATCAGAATGTCCTTGAAACCTTCAATTATAAATACGGTTATGTATACCTGGACGGTCTTGCCAATTTTCTCTATACATGTGTGAGAGTCTACCAAAAGGGGTTTAATTCTTGTAATTATTCAAGTTCAGTTCAGATCAACTTCATTTATAATTTCGCTTTATCATAACTGCCATCATTGATACCTAAATGTGGTCATTGAGGCTGCTTTTAACTTCTCAGATCAATGACTACATCTTTAAAAACACCGATGATACTAATAAAGAGGTCATTAACATTATTTATTTCAGGTGAATTTTGTAAGGTTGGTGATGTGTTTACACCAACATCTTCATGATCACACATCATATGTGATAGGACTGACATATTATCCTCACTTTCATGACTTTGCCGTGGTTACTACTGTTGAAATAATTGTATGCCCATCGACTTCATCTTGGCATCTTATGTTACGCTAAGGCTTGGATTCGTTTCACTGGATTTGATGTTTGATAATCTAATTCCACCGATAGTCAACATAAAAATTAGTGTGCCGACCCAGCTATGGTACAAACACCCTTTAATCTTCCTTAAATGTGGTTACGTGCGCACGACTTTGTAACCAATAATTGGGCAGGATTGTAAGGAACAATAATGTATTCACAAACAAAATTATCACAGTTATGACAATGTTCTATCTTAGATAAAAATTGTTAGAGTTTGAGGGACTGATGATACTTGTTTCAGACAGCTGTCAAAGCCTATATATCTATTTACCTGCAATATGCTATAATAACTGTCAATAGTTGGCTTCTCTGTGTATAATTTTATATGGCAATGTAACTGTAATGCACTGTACTCTGCAATAATCCTTTTCTTCTTGAGGTACGCTATTTTAAGATAAAAATCTGAAAACAAAGTAATCCCTCGGAAGCATTAATCACAACAAAATTACATAAGAATTTAAGACTCGGTTTGATTGAGTCTGTACATGAGGGATAGTGAATAAGTGCAACATCCCTTACGCACGCTAGCACCGGCTTGAGCGGTACTCAATTGTCAACACTTAATAGTGCTGGCATCAATGATCTCGGAGGACTAGAAAAATATAACAACACTGAAGTGAAGTACGGGGCAACTTTTTACAGCTTCCACACGGCACTTTACTCAAAAAGAATCAAGACTGTTCAAAGTTTTCATATTTTAATAAGCGTTTAATTTTAATACATTTAAATGTGAATAACATAATAGTATTGCAAATAAAATCAACACATGTATATGCAAGATAATTCAGTCCTAAATATTGATTAGATATACGTCTTATAAACTTCGCATAATTGTTCCCGCGACTGCCGATTAATTTCTTTTTACAATGTGAAAACGTTAGTTCAAAGTTTGGTCGAGTCAGTGACCATAACAAAATGAAATAAAAATCCAAAGTCTTTACTATTTAATCTTAGATATAAAACAATAATCTAAAGTCTTTGTTTTGTTTTGCCTTAAAGCCGTCAGCAGATAAACATCAATAACGTTTCATATAACTAACTGAAAGTCAAATGAAACCTGACTGAAATTAATCGTTTTCGGACCTATTTATACCGAATCTGAGAAGTTCAACGAACACAAAAGCGTTTGAAATATTTTAAGCTGTACGTTTTGGTCAATCGACAATTTTTGTCGGTCGCAATCTGACCTATTAACGTTCGAAAACGATCATTTCCATACAAAAAGAACGATGGCAACAAACTGAACATCCGAACATCAACAATTCTTTGCTCAAATTATATGAAAGTTTACAAAAAAGATGATAAATCATTACATGTATAAATTACTTATACAACTTATGCAATTATTTTGTTAACTTAGCTTCAGCAGCAATTGCTATTGGCAACAACTGTTATACAACTCATAATGCATCAGCAAACAACAACACCTGTCAAAGTTTATCAATTTAAAGAAATATAAATGCAACCTCCTAGCTAAATGAACGCTGTTAACTAGAAAATATGCACATAATAATGAAATCAATCAATAATCTATATAATTCTAACAACAGGGTTTTCAATCTCACAAATTAATAAATAAAGGGACAAAATGTTAACAATGACGATATTTACATACAATTCGAGTTTACAAGTAAGAATGGAGAATACGATGTGATATGCACTGACAAGTTTAATATTGACTTGAGTAATTTTGCGTTCAATCTGTTTTCAGTACACCTAACATCATTTTCTACGGCTAAAAAAAATACAAATATATTTTATATTTCATAGTAATGTACTTGACTATGACAAACAATGTATAACATGTATTATTCTGAGCTAATTACAGAGTACGTACCAAATAGATCAATACAAATTTATACAGACGCATACTACTTAGTTACTAAATCTAAGAATAACAATATCTGACAATATCTTTTAACATAAAGTATAAAATATATTCAATAATTCTCTTGTATACTAGAACATTACACCCGAAATTAAAGCGACCTTCAGCTTTTCTAAAGGTTAAATATGTTATTTGTAGATAAATGGTTTCATATAATTGTCAAACCAAAAAATTATGGTGGAAAATGAATTGTGCCGACAATAAAATACATAAACAATAAGGTTATCACTGGATATCTCTAATCTACAGGTCCACTCTCTACATTTAAAAGTAGTAAAGCGGACGATTCGTTCTGCAATCTTCTATTTTTAGAAACGAATCTCACTGGCGCGCTATAATTAGCTCTCGGGACATTGTTTTAAAGAAGGCATAACAGTGATATGATGACCTTTTCTAAAAAATGACATCACAGTTTGAAACAACACAAGTTTTTTTCCAACAGAAAATTAAAACTGAAGGTCGCTTTAATTTGCAATATTTTAAAAGTTATCTCCCTACAGGCTTTGATTTCTTAGAATCCCAGACTGGACACGATTAATCTCAGATAAAACCATCAAAACAATAAGAAAATTGTAAGGAAACAAAAGATATGTTTATGTACTTCTTTAAGACATATTTAAATACTATTAAAATGTTAAATTATTAAATACTGCAACGATATAAATAAAACTGTTAACCATTTCTAACTGTTCATTTTTATGAAATATAAATGAAAGCTAAAGATCATCCAAAACGACAAAAAGATGTTGGCTGATTTGTGCCATGTTGTGTTTAATTCCTGTTGCATAAACTTGTAGCCACAATAAATAACAATATGTATGGAAGCTGATTTGTGCCGTATCGTATTTTCTGTCCGCCGGACGCTCCACGAAGTCAAAGTCAACATTTTTTCGTACTTTCGTTCAACAGGGCTCGTGGGCACAACGCAATAATACGACGAAGTCACAAATTTGTTGTACTTTTGCTTCACGGGGCTAATACCATAAATTCATCACGTTGTCATATTTTCATGTTTTCTCCTTTTGCTTTTTTGCGCGGCGCATGTCGAATTTACAAAATTACTTTAACGTGTCCTCGTGTCTTCGCCAGATAATCAATAAAGCGGAAGTACGATGTAGCATAAATCAGCCACCATCAATACATGTATAAAGACTGAATACTATACGGTACTAGAAACGTTAGAGGTGATATGAATTATGCTTTTGTATGTCGTTGTTATCATTGCTTGAACAAATTATCTTCTTTTTAAAACTATTTTTATATATTTATCAATCAGCATTGACAAGATTGTGTCATTTGTTTCGTACTTAGGTGACGTCCACTATTTATGTAACAATACAAAAACAAAATATGTTTTACCAATGCCAACGAGTCTATTTTTTCTGGAAATATTATCACATTATTTCATAAATATTATCAATTAAGTTTGTCCTATATATTAATGAAATTTTAATAGAGAACAAAGACTTTTAGGCGCATTAAGAAATAAATACATTTTTTCTCTTTAGAATGCTCAAGCATGTGTTGTATATTAAATTAAATCAAATCATATTAGATGGCAATCACCTAAAGAAAGAATTTTGCTGAATTCAAAATTGAAGTTTTAAAATAGCCATTAGTTAAGTAAAATATATATAAACATAACTGTGCTAAACGTCAGATTGTAATAATAGAAATAATAATAATAATCATAATAATATTAGTAATAACTTAAGCCATAACTTTGCAAATGATTTAGCTACATGGAAAATAATGTTATTTTAAAATCTTTAAAAGCCACTCGCCTGAATAATATAAAGCATAAATAAAAATTTAATATTTTAAAAGTAAAGTATAATTTGTCAAGTTAATGTATCTTTTAATTATTAATTCTAACTGTTTGAAATGTATTCTATATTGTCAACATGTGAACATACATGCATCTATTTTTTTCCATGTATTTCTCATAAATATATCATAACTATCATTACTCGGGAAAATTGGAATTAATCACGGTTTTTATAAGACTTTAGATTATTCCGGAAAAAAACCCAAACAAACGAGTTTTCTAAGTATGTACGCCATTACAAATTTTGATCTCAATTTTTAATATATTTTGATATGATTGCCTAAGACATTTAAATTACTTACAACTGTTAATACGAAAGTTGTCACCAGATACACTACGTTAATAAATAGAAAGTGTTTTTTGAATAATTGTAACATTTTTGTTAAACCTTACGTTTTCCAGTTTTCCGGCGTATCTTCATACATTTTTTGTCATAACGCTACGTTTAAGTGAATATTCTTGCCCCCAACACGTTGACCAGGTGATACCTTTACCATATTCTGTGTGAGAACCTCCCAAATATAACCCATTTAAATTACATAAATGGCAGGCTCTGTACCACCAGGCTCCATTGTAATCAACGGCACAATTTCCGCTACCTCTTCCGTCATTATCATTGTCAAATGTTGTTAATTTCCAGCCGTTATGTTTCCATTATATCCCGATACTGACAACCTGTATTCGTCACTTTCGCCATTGACTTTAAAGGTGGAATATTCGGCAAAAGCTGATGCGGGTGAAACATAATCATGTTCAAACGTTTCCATTTCTATATAAAGTTCACTGCCAATTGTTGTTAATATGTTTATGTATTTAAGACCAAGCCAGTATTCTCCTATTGTGGTCCCAAATCCATCCACGTATTCATCCCAATCTCTATAAAAGTCTACAGATCCATCTTGGCGGCGTTGAATTACTTTCCATACACCATTGGACATGTCACACTACACGTCAATATTTGCACCTTCAGACGGTTGAATAACATAGACACCATCTTCAGCATAGCCCATTTTATAAAGGGATAAACAGACGCCTGGTTGGCGGTGTATTTTCTTGTACAATCCATTGGTTGTCTACGACAGAGAAAAAATCACAAGCTTATGAGGAACCTTTTTACGTTCCTTAAAATTTACTATAACCTTTGTTCAATATTTCCTTTTATAATTTGATATGGACTGTTCTTTTAAGACTTTAAAGAAAAATTAAGGCATTTATAAACTTTTCAGTCTTATATTAAAGATGAAACCTTAAAATATAAATGTGATGTTTCAAAAGAATAATTTAATACGTACCTGTAAATATGAAGTCAAAACTCTGGTTTTCTTTAGTCCATATACTATACCTGTGTTTTGATCAGAGTTTGCAATATCTTCCGTAGTTGCAAATTCTTCTACGCTACAAATGCACGTTTCATTGTTTTTAATATAGACAAGAGCCACCGCCGGGCGGGGGCAACGCTCGACTTTTTACTTTTTCTAAACGCAAACATAGAAAGGTTTGAACATATATTGATGTTTCCTTTTTATAAATTTAGTTGGTCTGTCTTGTCACATTAGTTTTGTTTATATATTTTGTATATATATGAATAGAAACATTAAGCATATTTCTAAAAATAGCAACAGTACGCAATTTCTAAAAATAGCAACAATGACGCAATTTCTAAAAATAGCAACAATGACGCAATTTCTAAAAATAGCAACAATGACGCAATTTCTAAAAATAGAAAAAATGACGCAAATTCTAAAATAGCAACAATGACGCAATTTCTAAAAATAGAAAAAAATGACACAAATTCTAAAATAGCAACAATGACGCAATTTCTAAAAATAGCAAAAATGACGAAATTTCTAAAATAGCAACAATGACGCAATTTCTAAAAATAGAAAAAAATGACACAAATTCTAAAATAGCAACAATGACGCAATTTCTAAAAATAGCAACAATGACGCAATTTCTAAAAATAGCAAAAATGACGCAATTTCTAACAATAGAAAAACATGACACAATTTCTAAAAATAGAAAAAAATGACGCAATTTCTAAAAATAGAAAAAAATGACGCAATTTCTTAAAATAGAAACAATGACGCAATTTCTAAAAATAGAAACAATGACGCAATTTCTAAAAATAGAACAAAAATGACGCAATTTCTAAAAATAGAACAAAAATGACGCAATTTCTAAAAATAGAACAAAAATGACGCAATTTCTAAAAATAGAAAAAAATGACGCAATTTCTAAAAATAGCAACAATGACGCAATTTCTAAAAATAGAAAAAAATGACGCAAATTCTAAAAATAGCAACAATGACGCAATTTCTAAAAATAGAAAAACATGACGCAATTTCTAAAAATAGAAAAACATGACGCAATTATATACATGTATATATATGTATATATGTATATATATATATATATATATATATATATATTTGATATATATATATATATTTGATATATATATATATATCTATATATGTATATATATATATATATATACATGCATATATATATATATATTTATATATATATATACCTGCATATATGTATATATATACACACACACATTTATATATATATATATATATATAATACATATACTATACATACACACACACCAATAAATGCACAATCTGAGAAAATTCAGTAATATAACCTTCAAGGTCAAGGTCATTAAAGAGCCCAAGCAAATTTGGGTTTGATAAACAACAAGGTCTGGTCCTTAAGAATGTTCTGTTATAATATGAAGTTTATCCCTTCAAAAATAGCAAAGTTACAGTCAGTTACTGCCAAAACAATGAAAATTTCAATAATTTGACCTTCAAAGGCAATGTCATTAATGAGTGAAGGTCAAGGTCTTTCGGTATATTTTTTCACAGTTATCTTTGAAGATTATTATGTTCAAGTTTGAAGACAATCCATCCAAAAATAACAAAGTTACAGCCAATAATAGCCAAAAAAATGAAAATTTCAATAATTTGACCTTCAAAGTCAAGGTCATTGATGAGTGAATGTCAAGGTCTGACTGGTTATTTTTTAAGGGATATCCTTGAAGATTATTATGTTCAAGTTTGAAGACAATCCATTCAAAAATAACAAAGTAACAGCCAATAACAGCATGAACAAGCAAAAATTGGACTTTTAACCTTGAAGGTTAAGGTCATTTATGGATGAAGGTCAAGGTTAGTGTGGTCTACTGAAAGGTCTTGTCCAAAGGGTTGTTGTGGCCAAGTATGAAGACAATACACCAAGAAATAAAAAAGTTATGATCCAGGTACAAGTTTTCGGACGGCAACGGCAACGGAGACGGCAACGGCAACGGCAACGCCGACCTGACTATAACAATACCTCTACTTTTTTTTTCAAAAAAAAAAAAAGTCGAGCTAAAAATGCAACGCATTTCTGTTCTTTACAATGAAATTTACAAATTGAAAAGGATACCATTTGAGGTATAGTGACAAGTTTATTCCTTTGTGGTATTTCCGTTACATATGACAAATTATACATAACAGTTTCACCAGAATGTGTCCAGTCTTTACTTAAACTGAGTCCAATCAGAGTATTAAGAACGATGTTACTCACAATCCAAAATGCCATTATGATATTTCTTCCAGTGTCAGAACCAATTAAATATTGATTTTAAAAGTTTTGATTTTTAGTATGCTTAAAGAACAACTTATCTTAAAACATAGAGATGTCTGTAGTGTTATAAGCCAAACTGAACATTAGAATTCAGATGAATTAGTTTAAGTAAAAAATGCGTGAGCGTAAACAATGACGTAACGCTGTTCCAGTTGCGTTACAGTAGCATCATGTGTAGGAGTTCGCCCGATATTTTTAATTAACATACATGAAACTAATTTGTTACTTCATTATTTTTTCCTTGTCTATGGACGTGCGAGTATTTGATTGATACCGTGATTGATTGTTTATCTTTCTTGCTATACAATCAGGCATTCCGTCCGCAATGAATATAAATGCACTCATAAATAATATCGTCGTAAATTCTATATTATTGTGCGTTATGCAATCAATCAATTTGACAGCAACATCATTTTAGTCCGTTAAAAAGCCAGTATCAATTATTAAAACTTAAAATATTTATTCTTGGCACGACTTGAACAATATCATCATAGATAATTGCATGAATACAGACTTGAGCACTATTTATCATAACGTATTTTCTGAACAATTAATACATGTTGAATCAGTTTACTTGACTGTGATAAACCAATACTATTATTTTTTTCGTTTTTTAAATTTTTTACTGTATAAGTACTTTTTTTCTGCGGGAACTTTATTTCTGCTTTTTCTGCGGTTCGTAACGACACTGCAGATTTAAAAACCGCAGAAAACAAGCAATTATCATAGTATTGCAAGCAATCCATAAGTCCCCTACCGGTTAGAACCCCATCAACATTCTGAAGGGCCATTAACTAATGTTTCAATTTTTCTCTATTTTAAGTAAATTTGTTGGAAAAGTTCTTTAAAAGTGATCACAGGAAACAGTTTTTATGAACAGACAGACAGACGGACTGAAGGACACTCTACAGTTAATATTTGAAACATCCCTGTTACCAAAATATAACATTTTAAAAGCAAAATTCTTAAACAGGAGATAACTCTTGAATTAAAGATGCAATTTCATAAAAATGTTCAGCTCTTTTTGACTAATCACAAATATTGTTATATTTGCCATGTTTTAAGCCTATTTGTTGCCAAGGCAACTGATATTTTTTCAAAATAGAAAGAACAGATAAGACATGCATAATCTCAAGACTGCCATCTACCCATATGTCAAGTTTCATAAAAATATTTCCAGTACTTTTTGAGTTATCACTGGATTCAGTTTATGTGTAAAATTTGCCATATTTTCAGTCTATGTGTTGCCATAGCAACAGGAATTTTCAACATAGGAAGAAAAGGAAAAGACGTGCATAATTTCAAGACAGCCATCTACCCATATGTCAAGTTTCATAAAAATATTTCCAGTACTTTTTGCTTTATCACTGGATCCAGTTTATGTGTAAAATTTGCCATATTTTCAGTCTATGTGTTGCCATAGCAACAGGAATTTTCAACATAGGAAGAAAAGAAAAAGACGTGCATAATTTCAAGACAGCCATCTACCCATATGTCAAGTTTCATAAAAATATTTCCAGTACTTTTTGCTTTATCACTGGATCCAGTTTATGTGTAAAATTTGCCATATTTTCAGCCTATTTGTTGCCATAGCAACCAGAATTTTCAACATAGGAAGAAAAGAAAAGACGTGCATAATCTCAAGACTGCCATCTACCCATATGTCAAGTTTCATAAAAATATTTCCAGTACTTTTTGCGTTATCACTGGATCCAGTTTATGTGTAAAATATGCCATATTTTCAGCCTATTTGTTGCCATAGCAACCAGAATTTTCAACATAGGAAGAAAAGAAAAAGACGTGCATAATCTCCATACTGCCATCTATCCATATACCAAGTTTCATAAAAATATTTTCAGTACTTTTCAAGTTATCGCGGGATCCAGTTTTGTGGTAGGACGGACTGACAGACGGACAGACGGACGGAGGGTAAACCTAAAGTCCCCTCCGGTAAACCGGTAGGGGACTAATTAAGCCTTCCTATATGTCTATGTCGGAATATGTCCACTACCGGTACTGTATAATAACTTTACCCTGTACTGTTATCGGCTTTTATATACATGTATATCTGTCATGAATAAAATATTAGAAAAAAAGTTACTTGACTTGTTCTTTCTGTTTAAATAAATATCATGTTTGTATGATTTTCGCTCACCCTAAGCTTGATTTTTTTTTGTAAAATAAAACTGTTATAGTGTGACAGGTGCAATAAAGATACCCTTTTGTATTTGTACAATATCTTGTGTTTACCTGCAATTTTACCATTGTTTATTTTTCACACTAAATATTTATACACATG